GATTCTCAGTACTTCTGAATGGGCGGCCATGTGATTTTTTTTCTTCATCTCGTGGACTCAGACAGGGAGATCCTATCTCTCCATCCTTATTTATTATTGCTGCAGATTACTTCTCTTGATTGCTTGCTCAAAGGTTTCAGGCATATCCTAGTATGCAGTATCGACATGGAGGTACTACTCTTGTATCTCATCTTGCCTTTGCTAATGATATGATTATATTTACCAATGGTCGGAAGAGGTCTATCAGAAGGGTCATAGATTGTTTGGAGCACTACGAGGGAGTCTCTGGTCAATTGGTAAATAGAGACAAGAGTGGTCTTATATTGCCTAGGCGGGCTTCTGATATTCAGATACGGAGGTTAGCGATTTTGACTGGATTTTCACATCAGAGATAGCCGTTTACATATCTGGGAGTCCCTTTATTTAAAGGAGCTAAGAGGAGCGTTTTGTATGACAATCTCATTATGAAGGTCAGGAGTAGGATTTCTGGGTGGGCTTCACGCCTTCTTTCTCATGGTGGTAGGATTACTCTACTGAGGTCTGTTCTTTCCTCTTTACCACTGTATCTATTCCAGATTATGCAACCTCCTAAGATCATTCTGAAAAAGTTGGAAAGTATATTTGCTCGTTTCCTATGGGATTCTAAGGATCATGCGCGTCGTCTACATTGGCGGAATTGGAAGGCGATATGCCTTCCTACTGACGAGGGAGGTTTGGGATTTAGACGATTGCAGGACACGGTGGACACATTTTCACTGAAGCTATGGTGGCTGTTCAGGTCTCAGAATTCTCTTTGGTCTCAATTTTTACTCGGGAAATATTGTAGAGGGACACATCCGTCACTTGCAGCAGTTCCTCACTCAGCCTCTCCTATTTGGAAGAGACTGAAGAGATTTGGTCCACTCGCTGAACCACACATTGCGTGGAACCTTGGTATAGGACAGATCTTCTTTTGGCATGATTGTTGGATGGGTAATTCTACACTGGCAGCTATTTTTCCACACAAACAGCATACATCTGCGAGGGTGCA